GGAGGGCAGGACCCCCCCATATGTACCCCCGGCCCCACAGTGAGCAGGGGAGCAGCAATGGGGCTGTGGCTGGGGGGGAGCGGGATCATTCCCAATGTTCCTGTGGTGGCTTTGGCTCCGCTCACACCCTGCAATGGGAAAAGCAAGGGGGGGAATGGAACTGGGCAAGGGGCTCCTCTGTTGGTGGGAGGCACCGGGGCTGTGCTGATGGCTGAGGAGCATCAGCTCCAGACTGGGAGCATCCTCCCTGGTCATGGGGCACCACTGCAGGGCCTGGAAGCATCACCCAGACCAGGCTGGACACAGGGGCTTGGAGTGGCCCGGGGCAGGGGTTGGAGCTGGAGGAGCTTTGAGGTCCCATCCAACCCAACCCATTCCTTGATTCCATGATCCCCATCCCAGTGCTGGGGTGAGGGCTCTGCCCAAGGGGCTGGAGCTGTTCTCCTACAACCAACCCCATGCTGGGACTTTCCTGTCCCCGGTGTTGGTGCCCAGCCGGGCCGCTTCGCTGCCATGCAAATGTGGAGCCGGATACAGGCCCTGGAGGGGATGGCGCCGGAGCTGCGGCTCCCCAGGGGCTCAGTGAGGGGGGCACCAGGCGTGACATGAACCTGCTGCCGCCGGCGCGGTGACGCGGTGACAGCCCGGCCATGGGCTGCATGCATCCCCAACACAGAGCCCTGGTGCTGCAAGTCCACTCCTTGGTGGGGCCAGTGTTGGGCACCTGGCTCTGCATGGGGGCGTGTGTGAGGCTCCCATTCCTTGCAATCCCATCCCTTCCAATCCCATCCCTTCCAATCCCATCCCATCCCATCACCATTCCATCCCCTCCCACCCCTTCCAATCCCATCCCATCCTCTCCCATCCCTTCCAATCCCATCCCCATTCCATCCCCTCCCATCCCTTCCAATCCTATCCCTTCCAATCGCAATCCATCCTCTCTCATCCCTTCCAATCCCATCCCATCCCTTCCAATCCCATCCCATCCCTTCCATCCCCATTTCATGCCCTCCCATCCCTTCCAATCCCATCCCATCCCATTCCCATTCCATCCCCTCCCATCCCTTCCAATCCCATCCCATCCCCATTCCATCCCCTCCCATCCCTTCCAATCCCATCCCGTCCCCATTCCATCCCCTCCCATCCCTTCCAATCCCATCCCATCCTCTCCCATCCCTTCCAATCCCATCCCATCCCTTCCAATCCCATCCCATCCCTTCCAATCCCATCCCCATTCCATCCCCTCCCATCCCTTCCAATCCTATCCCTTCCAATCCCAATCCATCCTCTCCCATCCCTTCCAATCCCATCCCATCCCATCCCATTCCTCCCCTTCCCCTCCCGTTGTCACTCAGCCCCCAGGGGAAGGACAGGGATGTTCCCATGCCCCCAGTTTGGGACCAGAGGCCCCCAGCCCATGCTGAGGGTGCACAACGGCAGCAGCTCCTCGCCGGGCCGGCGCAGGGGAGTGTGACTCAGGCTGGAGCATCGGGACAAGGAGGAGGAGGAGGTGTTGGTGGTGACTCAAACCCTCCCTCTCCTGCCCTCCTCTCCCAGTGCTGCCAGTCCTGGGGCTCTGGACCGCTCCGGAGGCGGCAGCAGGAGCCGGATGGGATGCTCCAGGGATGCAGCGTTTGCCATCAGCTCGGTGTGGGGCACAAAGCGTGTTTCGACACGACGGTGGAAACGGGTTCCTCTCTGCTCATGTTCCTCATTACAGCATATCAGCAGATAAGCATCTCCCTGTCATAACACCAACGTCTTCATCAAGCCAGGGCTTTAAAAGCGTTTGATTCCAGAAGAGGGCTGGGGTGTGTGTGTGTGTGGCATCAAACCAGCTCCTCTTCAATGCAAAGCCAGACTGGGGCAGCAGCACAACACAGGGAAAATACCTCTTGGTTCTTGTGCTGCACCCAGGCAAGGGAGGATGTGAAGGTAAAGGCAAGAAGGATCCTCTGGCTTGCTGCTTTCCCCTTCTGTTTGTCAAGCCTGCCCAGCTCCTCGTGGTAGGTGTCAGGGAGCGTGCAATAGGTGTGAACAACGTCACCCTGCTAGAAGAGGTGCTGACAAAGGGCTCTGGGAGGCTTGGTGGGAGCCAGGATGTTTCCATCTGGCTCCAGCCTCACCTTAGGGCAAAGCTGAGCCCACCCTGCAGCGGGTCCAGGCACGTGGGGCTGGGAGCTGCCTTCACCCCATAGACGTGGCCCTGGGCAGGTCACAGGGGACTGTGACAGCCAGGGCTGCAGGATGGAGCTTGGTGACATATCGTGGCACAAGGAGTGTGTCCTGAGGCTGGGAGCAGGGCAGGCAGTCAGGGCATCCCATGGGAATACCTTCATGTAGCAGCTTTAGGCACTGGAGCTGCTCTCAGGTCTCCCCTTCAGGAGCCTTCTCTTCTCCAGGCTGCCCCAGCCCAGCTCTCTCAGCCTGGCTCCAGAGCAGAGCTGCTCCAGCCCTCGCAGCATCCCCATGGCCTCCTCTGGCCTCATCCAGCAGCTCCACATCCCTCTGGTGCTGCTGCCCCAGGGCTGGACGCAGAACTTCTGCTCTGCCAGGGCAATTTGGGCCATTCCCCTCCCTCAAACGCTTGTCCCAGGCTGGCCGGGGGCACAAGGGAAGCCAGCAGCAGCCCCTGATATCAGAGAAGGGGAAGAGGTTTCCTTCCTCAAGTGCCAGCATTTCCCCCCAGTTTTCCAGCTCTGAGCACTGCCATCACCTCTGCTTTCATAGAACCACACCATGGTTTGGGTTGGAAGAGACCTTAAAGCTCATCCCGTTCCAAGCCCCTGCCATAGGCAGGACCACCTTCCACCAGACCAGGTTGCTCCAAGTCCCATCCAAGCTGCCTTTAGTGCCTTTAACTCTGACATACATGAGAGGTTACTGAAGCTTTACAGAACTTCAATCAACTCTGAAGCCCCAGAGGCTGCTTTCTTAGTGCTAAAAGCCACTTTCCTGAGCTGCCTGCATGCTCCTGCTCTTGGGCTCTAATTCATCAGTAAACGAAGAACCCAAATGAAACAAGACCAAGCAGTGGTCAAAGAGAACCATCCCCACCAAAATTTGCTTTGTATCAAAATAAGCAAAGCAGAAGCAGCACAAACCAGGCTCACAACAAACACCGGTGCTTTTTATCCCTCTGCTTTCCCAGATGGGGTGATTTGCGAAGCTCAGAGCTCAGATTCCTGCTCGGGATGGAGCAGAGCTCTTTGATGGATGGGTAGGGCTCAATGGGCTTCCCTATGCCCTTCATCGGGGCTTGGGCACGAGGGAGGGTGCTCAGCTCGTGGGGCTGTGCAGTGGGATGGGCTTTGCCATGCTGGTGGTGTCCCCAGTGCAGAGGGAAGCACATGGAAGGGGCTGATCCTGGCCTGGCGCTGGTGAATCCTGCTCTGGGGACATGGCTGAGGCACCACACAGCAGCTGAACTCATAGAAACACAGCGATAGGTTTTAATAAACGACTGGGTTGAAATTCCACACCAGGGTTGCTCAACAGCAGAGCTGGAAGGAGGCTTCTGCTTCAGCCCATCTGGAAACCAGGGCTGCGCTGGGGAAACGGCACCGCACGGACCAGACGCTGCGGAAACCTCCCTCCTTCCTCTCCCAACCTGGCCGCGGTGCTGGGAGCTGCTGGGGGCACCATGGTGGGTGTTGATGGCTCGGCCCAGCTGGGGAGGATGGAGGGGTGGCCTCAGCTCTGTCTGATGGGGAGGGAAGCAGCAGAGTTCATCCGAAGAGGGATTGCAGTGGAGTTGAGGAATCAGCCGTGGCGGTGCTGCGGGGAGCTTCCTGGGCAAAGGACAGGCGATGCTTCACAGTGGATGACCTCATTCATCACTGTCACACCATGAGGACCGCTGTTATCAGCCACGGTGTGCGAGTAGCTCAGCTTTCCCCAAGAACACAGCAGGAGGGATGGAGCTGTGGCAGGATCTACACCAGGAGAAGCACGGAACTGGCCAAATGCTTCCCAAATCCAGGCTGCTGCCTCATGTCAGTCCTTGGATGATCGTGGTGGAACTGCAGCCTCGCTCACAGGAGGATCTTTGTCATGCCACAACACTGGGAAGAGCCAAGATCCATCCACTCACTGTGCCTCACAATGGGAAACTGGTCACTGGGAAAAGATCCTAAGCCTGTTTTATAACTACACATGTAACAGCACACAAGGTACAAACCAGTTCTCCTCACCCCCTGCAACAAGCTGGATCTAGGATCTAGCTCTTCCACAGCACTTGTGACCTTAACATTCAGGGAGGGAGAAAGTATTTGAGCCCAAAGAGTGAGCCCAGGTCAGAGGGAGGGAGGGAATTCAGTAGTTCTTGACCTTCAGCATTCCACCCAGGTCTCTGCACCCGACCTTCCCTCACGGATCACCAGGGATATGGGCACAGCAACACCGAAGAAGTACAGCAGCGCTGTAGCTCTCAAACCACACAATGCAGGAAGTCCACCAGCACACACCTGGCTCCATGCTAGACAAAGATACTTTGCAAACATTCACTCAGCAGAACTGTTATCAAATTCCTATCTCCAGCGCAGTGAGTAATAATACAGCTGCAGAGCAGTGATTAGATTAAAAGAGCTATTTTAAAACCCAGCTTCAAAGTCATGGTAAATAGTCATTTTGCAAAACAGCACATTTCACACCGAGGGACATCCCCACCTAAGAGCAGACGGAGCTGGCGGCTCCCACACCCCCCTGTGCAGGTTCTCACGGCACCGGTGACTCCGCCACGAGCCCAACGCTGCCTCCTTGCTCTTGGCATCCCTTGGGAAAGAGAACTTCAGGATGTCCCCCACCCCAAACACAGTGTCCTCCTTGCTCCTGGCACCCATTGGGAAAGAGAACTTCAGGATGTCCCCCACCAAACACAGTGTCCTCCTTGCTCCTGGCACCCATTGGGAAAGAGAACTTCAGGATGTCCCCCATCAAACACAGTGTCCTCCTTGCTCCTGGCACCCATTGGGAAAGAGAACTTCAGGATCCCCCAAACACAGTGTCCTCCTTGCTCCTGGCACCCATTGGGAAAGAGAACTTCAGGCTGTCCCCCACCAAACACAGTGTCCTCCTTGCTCCTGGCACCCATTGGGAAAGGAGGACTTTCCATCACTGAAAGTCAGGATTTCCCCCAGACTGCGCGGGTGAGGCAAGCAGTGACCTCACTGGGTATCCCAAAAAGGCGTGCTGTTAAAAACCCCCAACCCAAGTCTCATCTCTCACTTTGCTCTTACTAAGACACGTGTGGGAGTGACTTTAAAGCAGGTGAACAGAAGGGGAAGAAAAATGAAAGTGTGGTGGGGCCACATGCTCTTTAAAACTTAGGGGAAAACCTTTGAACAGGAATTAATAATCCCTCCCAGTGTGTTTTCCTTGTTTGCGTGATTTGAAACCCATCGGGATTGTAACAGCTAAAACAAAGCTCCTCCTATACTCCTGCTCCTACACATGAGATCAGCATCAGCAGGGCATAAAACCGTTTTGAGCTGAGTTTAAAGCACACGTTAGGAAACACAAATGCACGTTAAAAAAATAAAACCATCTTAAATGGCTCTTCATTTGCACAAAAATAAACTTCATCTAAAAACGGGTCTCTGCTCCTGGCATTTCCTCAGTCCCACCCAGCACAGCAGCGAGGCAGAGATGCTACAGAACGCTGACTGGTTTGCAAAGGAACGTGTAAAAAAGGTGTCACCTACCCCATGACACTCATTTTAAAACTGGCATAGGAAAATATACTCAAGAGATTTCTTCCTGCTGAGGAAAACCCAACGAGCCTCCCCTCTGACCTTGTGAAACGGGTCCTTTTACTTGAGCACTACCCGGTGCTCTCCTCGCGCTATGTGGGACGAGAACTCGTAGCGATCGTGGCTCCGGTACCCGCAGACGTTGCACTCGAAGGGGTCACGGAAGCCGTGGCAGCCCATGTGGATGGTGAACATCACGTAATCCAAAAAGAGGACGTGGCAGTGCTCACACCGGTACACCCCGATGGCTTCCCCTTCCTTGTTGATGACCTTGAAGGCATCTCGTGGGCATATGGCAGGCGGCTTGATGATGTCGTAGGGCCTTGGGAAGTCCTTCAAGGGCTGGAGGCCGTTGCGGGCCTGAGCGGGGAGCATCTGGCTTGGGTGGAAAGTGGGATTCTGCCGCTCCTCGTGGTTGCTGTCAGTGTCTGTGGAGTCTTGGCCGCTGTTGTTGGGGGAGAGGCCTCTGTCTGAAGACAGGCTTTTGTCCCTTAGGTGGGGGTGGCTCTTCTCAGCATCCTGCAAGGTGCCGTTGGGCACCTCAGCGCGGGTCAGCGCGATGGGGTACAGGCTGCTGATGACGGGGACCATCTCGGAGGTGGGAGCTGGTGGTGTCTGCACGAGAGGGCGCAAGGCTTCAGCCCCCAGGTAGGTGATGGCATTGTTTATGGCCTGGTCCATCATACGTCCTTGCATCACATCGCTTTCCTTTTCATACATGAAACTGGAATTATAATTAACATCAAAACTGTGGCGTTTCTCACCTGCAAGAGAGGAGAGGCATGAAGTCACCTGGGTGGGTAAAGAAGCATTTAGACTCCACGAGGTCTGTTTTAAATGGCAGCAGTCTCTGGAAAGCAAAGAGGCATGAAATGTTCTCTGCTGAAAGAGGCTCTTCACACACCCAAGCAGCTTTTGGGGGCGAGGGTTGGGATTTGTTCATTTTCTAAAGCTCAGGCTTGGAAGCAAAATAAATCTCATAGAGGAGGAGGTGAGGATGGTTGCTGACTTGGAAACATCAGATCCACCAATCTTTGAGTTACGGTAACTCAGATAGTGCAGATGTTTATCAGTCACCTGTCAACACCATGACTCAATGGATATGAAACTCATGAGGTTTCACTGCAGAGGCAGAAACCCAGGAGCTCACGTTTCTCTCATAAAACACTCAAAAAGGTGAGTGAACCACAAGTGTGTAACTGCTTCCAGCCCTCACCAGGACTTCACAGAGAAGGAAACCAGACCATAGAGCATGTTTGTATGAGTCAAACCCAGCTCCAAGACAATGAAAAATGTGAACAGAAAGGCAACAGAAGTGAAAACAGGTATTTGGGACTCCCTGTGAATTTGGGGTTTACCGTCATAAGAGACAAAAGACACAACATATGATCTCTGAGGCTCTCCCGTGCTGTTATCCCAGTATCCTGGTGGCTTTAGAAAGTCCTCACGAGAGCCCATTCCATCGCCCTTTGACTCAAGGTTGTATCAAATGAAATGCAAACACCCAAAAGCTCTTCTGACACGATAACATTAATGTGTTGTGGTGCTGCACACCTTCAAAAGGCAACAAGACATCAGATGCAGACTCAGCTCTCCAGTGTTCACTGGCCACGCAGCCACTGGTTAGCAGAACATCTTTCCTCTTTGCTGCTTGTCTCAGTAAGCAGTGCTAAAGCTTTCCCCTTCAACATCCACACATGAGCCACAGCGTGGGACACGTTCCCATGTGCTGGTTGCTCAGTGGCTCTTCACTTACTCGAAACCACTTTGATTTTGCAGCCTGGTGAGGTGTGGACACTGGGAGGAGGGAGGGAACCTGCTTCCTGGCACCCTGCTAACCAAAGCAGCCATTTCTCACGAGACTTCACACACCAGGGGACAGTGGTGTGTGGAACTGTGTCGGAGCTGCCCTGACACTTCTGCCACTATCAGAAATAGATTCTCACTCTTGGTCTCTGGAAGAACTTGTTTTTAAAAGGAAGAAATAGAAGTCTGTAGGCTGAGATGCTCAGCAGGGGTTGACTGCAGCAGTGACTTTGACTTGCACCAATTGAAGATAGAGCCCTGTGAGTGCTCTAGAGAGCAGTGAAACCACCAGCAGGTATCGAGCTGTTCTGCTGGGCTGTCTTCTTTGTAAGTATCTGTTCATTAATCAAACCAGGAAGTACAAAAAGCCAAGGCTCGTACTTTGCTCCATACACATGCAAAACAGATATCCAGGGCAAAACAGGAAACACAAACCCATAAACTTCCATTTAAATCCTTGTTCCCTCAACACTAAGGGAAAAACTGAGCACAAAACCTTTATGGGAGAAGGCTTTGGGGAGGGGGGTATTGCAGAGGTTAAGAGTCAAGTAGATGGGTTGATGATCTGCGTCCTTATTTGAGACTTACTATGCACACGAGGTAACTCCTGCAGATGAAAATGTGAAAAATAAAGTGGGCAAAACTCCTGGTGCTTGTATGAATCTCTGCAGAGCCCTCAAATAATAATGCAGTTGAGTTTTATTTCCTGATCAATGGGCTTCATTCACAGAACCGAGCCTAACAAAGAGGCCTTGTTAGTACACATCGCTATCCCTCCTCCCTGACAGCATGAAAAATCAGCACCCATTCCAACAGCGCTGTTTCCCAAGGCATCCCAAAGCTGTCCTGTTAGATCTGCACTCCCACACGACCAGTTCAGTCACAGGAGTCACACTGGGGTCGGACAGACCCCTCTTCCCAAGGATAATGCACTTCCCAAGGGTAAAAGGGACTGAGTGATGTTTTCACATGGAACTTAACAAGAACCCCACAGGTTCAGGAAAATCAATTTCAGCTTCAGAAATCAGCTATTTTGTTCCTGGGTCCTCCAACGTCCCCACAAACCCCCTCCCCGTGATGCAGCATGAGTGCATGCCATCACCCCAGTGCGTTACTGAGCTCCATCACAAATCAGACAAGGATCTGCTCCATACGGTAACTCCTAAACTGGTGAAACAAACAAGAAACACACTTCACTTGAAGTGAAGTATGCTGCGTGTATGATTAATAAAGTACATCAGGATTGAAATGGTCGACCAGGGTAGGGTGAAGCTAATCTCTGTGCTAAGAAAAAGGAAGCTAGAAGATTTTCAAACCCATTTGCATTAGCATTACTTTCTGAATCACAGCAGGACATGTAAGGCCGAAGTCACACAGTCAACAGTTTCAGTATGAAGCACCCAAAGGCACTCACATGGAGTGCTGCTTCACTCCCGTGTGAAGAGGTGACCTTTTTAAAGCCATACTAAGATATCTGAATAAGAACTAGCAGTTTTCATAGATGAAAGTCCAGTGCTACCCACCAAATCCACCCAGAGCTATGTTACCTCCAGAAACCACGCTGGGTTTATGTCTGTAGGGATTCAGCAGCATTCCTGTACCTAGGCTTGGACCTCAGCCCCAGGCCTTCAGCACATCCCCTGCCAAATGGGGCTGATCCTTGCCTGTGTGCTCAGCCCCATGCTCCTTCCCTCCCTGGTCATGTGTGTGAGCACCAGCCACTGCTCAGGCCCCTGCACCAACCATAAAGCTCATAGTAAGTAAAGCATCACTCAGTGCCTTACATACCCAAACAGAACATAAACAAGGCATTGCTAGTACTGGTCTCATGTAACTGCTGACTAAGTCAGGTCTTTACTCAGGACACAAGAGTTGCATTTTACTTTCTTAAAAGGCGAGTTAATGAAAGCAGCCTAGCCGAGAGGATCAGGTGCTCAGTGGAGCACAGAACCTGCCAAACTAGTATGTGAGATCCCCAGCATGTAAAACTCTGATCATAGGAAATTAAATGCAAAGAAAATACTATGGCAACATCCTGTTGCTTAAATTACCACAAGAAAGGATTTGATATTTTCTGAACCGTATTCAAATTCAGCAGCAGGATGACTAACAGAAATCCAATACTTTTCTGTCTCTAGGCCTTATTCCACACATGCATCCTACAAGTACCTTCAGCTCCTGCTGACCAGACAGAGCACTTTGCTCTTAACAGCACGAAGCCTCCCTGTTCCCTTCCTGGGAAGAGCCTAGCAGAGAACATTTCAAACACACAGGTACAGAAAACAGCACATGGAAGCTCATCAGAGCTCTAAACTGCCTGCACAGACAAGACACACAGCACAGCAGTAGCTTCCATCCAGTTTAAGTATCTATTCTTTGTATTTTAATCAAACCCCTACAACAGATCACTAAAACCACATCAGAATAAGCCAAGTTACTTTATTTATGCTCTTTTGTATTAGCTTAGGTTATAAACTCGAGCAGGCGGTTTAAAAGAAGCAGAGGCATTGTACTAGCAGTAACCAGCTCGCACACATTAAACTGTTGCACATGAAAAGGTTTTTTGTTCTTACCAATAAATTTCTGAGGCATTGAGCTTTTTCTCTTTGCCACGTTGCTCGCTAGCCTGTCCAGCACAAGGGCTCTTTCACTCCCCATCTCTGCCTTGATGTGCCTTCCCTCCACGCTCGCTACTTCCGCAATGCCACAAGGAAGACAAGAAAAAAACAAGAACACAACAAGCAGGTGAAAAGGAAGAAATAAAAAAGAAAGAAATTAAAATAATAAAGGAGGAGATGGATGGTTTAATCTCCGGAGTTTGCCACGCTAACTGGGAGGAAACAGTTTGGAGATCTGATGTCAGCTTGTTTTGCTGCTTCTGCTGTTCTTGCTCTTTGCGTCTTGGGCACCAGTTGCGGTCAGTGGAAGCAAGCGCGGCAGCAGACACTGATCTTGCAGTCCTGAGCTCATGCAAAGGGAGCAGAAACCGTAAGACCCAGTATCTTCATTAGCAAGAGGAAGTGCAAAATCAACTGGCTGGAAGGGCTGCTTACAAAGTGTAGCTGGAGATACAACCTCGGCTAGCCTGCCTTTTCTATTCTGAGTAAGACCAGGACACCTGCAGGCTGCCACCATGCTCCATCGCTGCAGTAGAAGACATTCAGTCCTCTTGCCACACCGCTTCAGGTATCACTCTTAGAGGTCTTCAGTAACCACTAAGAAACTGGCATGAAATATAGCAAAAACGATTAAAATAATAAAACCTTTCAATAGTCACTTCCAGCTCATTTTCCCCCAGGTGCCTTTATCACTTCTTTTTTGCTTTGAACACCCCTGAGAACGTTGCTCCCTGGCATGAGATGCTTTAAAGCTCATCACAACCTCCATAACTTCCAACTGTAGGAATATATGCCCTACAGTCACTCCCTCGACACAGGGCCACCGACAGCTTTATGGATGAGACCATTTCCCAGAGCCTCCTCGAGCCGTGCTCACCAGAGCTCACCAGTGCTCCCTATTTCACGGAAACTACTGCTTGTTCTCACCTCAGGGAGGCTGCACAGGCTTTTGAGGTGGATCAGCCACCTCATATCGCTACTACCAGACTAATACTGAGTGTAACTGCTGTGGCTTCAACACCCCCCCTGAAAGCTCCCGCTCGCCTGCAGAACAAGTCACAGTTGTGGTGTTTTTATATTAACAAGCAGCACAAAGAGTTTCAGTGTCAGGGAGCAAATGTGGTGAAACTGGACACGTTGCAAGAGCTTGCCCATGCCTTTAAGAGCTGGTATCTACGTAGAGGAAAGCAAAGGCAAGGCAGGGTAATTTACTTTCCCAAGGTAATACTAAAGGTCAGCTCTCACTGTGAAAGAATCCTGGTTGCGTGTGATTGTACTTTTGCACCTAAATGTATGAAGCATCATGTATGTAAGACGGAAGTAATGCCAGAGGAAAGTGATCCAAGTGCTTTGGTATCACTGCAGTCCTAATAAATGCACTTTCATTAAATACTGGACTTAAATTGCAGTTTGCTCACTACAAGAAGTGATAAAAATGCAGCATCTCCCTGGAAATGCCGAAGTCACCCCTGTTTATTAGTGCTGCTATTGATATCATACGAGTTGCAGTCAGCACCAACCTCAGCCAGAAGCATCTGTTAATGTTTGTTCATTTTAAACATGTAAAGTGCTTCAGAAGCACTCAATGCCACAAATACTGGCTTTGAGTATGACTCAGGGTAGATGGAGAACAGGGTTCACTTCAGCCCTGTTTCATCAGGCTGTAACCCCGTGATGTACGTGATAACCAGACCCACAAAGGGCATGCTCAGGGCCTTAAAGGTAATAACATCCTGCCTTCCTAGGCTGATTTTGATTCTAAATTACTCTGGGATGTTTAAAGACTTATAACAAATATAACTCATATTATACTTAGAATGAATATATTCATTAGCTGCTAAAAGGCATCTGCTGCCAGCATGACATACCAAGACACTACGTAATAGTTGACATAAAGTGAAGCAAAACATCAGATTAAGATGAAACCGTAAAGGAAAGTGAGGTAGCATCATCATCCCTTTGGGCTCTGGCCAGAAGCTCTGGTTAATTCTTGAGGATGCTGTGATGGGATTTGTGATTTCAGAGCGTCTGTTTAACACTCACACTCCAGAAAGATGGACTCTGCTTCCTGAGCTCCTTATATAGTCTGCAGACAACTGCAGTTCGAGGCTGGAACTATCCCCAAGGCAGAAAGCTGTCAACTTGTCAGATCACTGCACAAAGCAGTAGTAATTTGAACTTAACCCCCCCAGCAACCCACAACTGCCCTGAACAAGACAACACAAAGAGTGCTGTATGTTCAAAAACACAGGAAGAAAGGAAACACGATTCATTCACGTCAGAAAGCAGCACCTTGGTCCCTACCACTCCTTCGTGGTTCTTGTTTTGTTCTAGTTCCTCTTTTTCTCAACCTTTAACTTCACCAGTTGCACTTAATTTCACATTTTCAGATGCTTTTTCTCTTGATAGTGAAGCTTCTGGAGCCTTATCAGCCAGCCCAGACACAGGCTGGAGTCTGGGTGCAGTGTCACTGACTGCTTGTCTTGTCAATGGTATTTTAAGTGCCACCAAGGGAATGTCATTAAATGAGTGTCAAGAGGGCAGGCAAGCAGCTTCCTGCAGAGGTAACAAGAGTCTTTACTCAGAGGAGATTGCTGAGGAGACAGTAACTACTGACCTACATAAGATGTTCTGGGACATCTGTAATTATCAGTCTCCCAGCTTGATGTCTCTCTGCCATTTTATTTAAAGGCTGAGAGTCTTTTCTTTCACATTAAGATTTCCTACTCCTTGCTAACAGACAGTTTTTTCCTCAAGAAAAAGTCATCTCCATTTATGGGCCACAAAAGTTCTTTGACAACATCTTCATAGAGCACCCTCAGGGAAACAGCCTCTGCTCCCACTGACACACAGGTGGTTACACTGGTTCCCTCCCACAACACTGCTCTCTATCCAAAAGTGAACTTCAAATTATCTCCCCCACCTCTTTCTTCTGGACCATTTATTAAATAGCCCAAGAATAATATTTAGCATTTAGGAAACATTGGTTTTAATCACTCAAAATTCTCTAAAGACTTCTCAGAGAGAAATAATCAGGCCCTGGCTCCCTCTTCAATTGCCTGACCCACTAATACCACAGTATTTCTTACACTAGTAGGATGGGGTTTAGCTCCAATGTCCTGACTGCTTTTAAATCTGGGGCACTGCCTCCTACTCAGCTAACACTGATTACAGCCTCCCCTCACCACCACCAGAGGTGTCTGTGGTGCTCCAGCGCACTGCTGCCCACCTCAGTGCTGTGAACACTGCACTTGTGAGCTCCTCTTTATGAAGCATTTCCAGAAGGAAACTTCTGTGCAGATGTGATTCAACAGGAATCACAGAATCCCAGCCTGGTTTGCTTGGGAAGGGACCGTAAAACCCATCCAGTCCCAACCCCTGCCATGGGCAGGGACCCCTTCCACTGGAGCAGCTTGCTCCAAGCCCCTGTGTCCAACCTGGACTTGAGCACTGCCAGGGATGGGGCAGCCACAGCTTCTCTGGGCACCCTGTGCCTCAGCACCCTCACAGGGAAGAGCTTCTGTTTACGAGTTCATCTCAATCTCCCTTCCAATAATCTAATAATAATAATAATGATATAATTAGATAATATCTACCCTAAATCTCCATGAATGACTACTTATGTTTCCTTGTAATGACTGAGGGACGAGCCACCTCTCTCAAACAGTGCTGTCACCTCACCATCACGTCACTCTGCAGACATACAGAGTGGATACTCTCCTTCCAGCCCAGGGCACGAACACACACAATGGTTTAACTTCAGCCGAACTGTTTCCATGGTGTGGTTTCTGTCACCCCAGAAAGGTGAGTGTCATTTTTAGAACATGTGGGCATTGCTCACAAACCCCTAAAGCACAAAGCAGAGCTCAAATTAGAGGCATTGCTTCCTGTAGCATTTCTATGTGGTCACTCAATACTGGAGAGTGGAACAGAGAGGTGGGCTCTTGTGCAATGAGAACGATGAGACCAGAGATTGCTATCAGGGACTGAGCAACGCTCTGACAATACTGTTGCATAAAACTCTTTGTTCAGAGACATTTCCACATCTGCAACATGCAGACCCTGCACTACAAAGTGACCAGAATGGTTACTACTGGTGCTCTTTGATATTGTCATGAATAGTTCCCCAGTTCAAAGTGATGTGGATAAATAGGGGAATGGTCTGAAAGTAAAACAAATGCTCACTAAACACAAGCACAAAATGCTACATTTAGGGGAAAAAATCAAATCAAAAGCACTAAATGAGCTCCCGAGGCCCTTTCCCACCTTCCCACGCTCAGGCTCTGTCATCTACCAGAGTGCTGATAGCAGAGGATGGAATGGAAATGCCTCAGCAAGAGTGGGGTTCCTGTTTGTCAGAAACCTCACTGCTCCACTAAAACCAGGGCTGTATTTTTAAGATGGCAGGGGGTACGTTAATGTCGTACTGGAAATTCACATTTCCTCTGTGTCACTGCAGCAAGTACACAGAGCATATTCTGGATAAGTGAAAAGTTGCTATTCTGAAATGAATATCAACCATGAAGAACATTTCAAAGCAGAAATCTGTAGTAGGTATCATGTTTTCCATTTTCACATGGTATGGACATCTCTGAGCGATTGCCATCACGGGAGTATGTGCTGTACCATCAAACCACAGTTACGGTGCGTACGGGTTCTCATGAAACCCAAAACTTGCTGATGCTCTGATCATAATTCAATTTTACTACAAAAACATGTCATTTGCTGAAAAGAAAATAGTCCATGGAAAACTATAAAACTCAAGCTTCTTTAAATCATTGTTTTCTTATGGAGGCTTGTGTGTATGCATGCGACCTAAGGCCTGACACACCAACCTACTCACTCTGCACAGGTTAAGGACTCTTGTACCCACATAGTTCCCATCGTGTATCAACTGGTTTTTAGGCCTGGCTTATGATGAGCCTGCACAATCCTTGCTTGATAGTCATCTCACTAAATGCAGGTTTTAAGTTATTGTCATTATTCAAGGGCCTTAGTAGATGTTGTCATCTAAGTATATTTTTACATTATAGCTTTCTTCTGTGAAAACTCAGTTTAGCCTTTTCCTTGGAAAGGAAATTCAAACTCAAAACTAGGAAGCTCGAGTCCTTCAAGTCATGGATGTTCCAAAGACTGCAGCAGCTCTGCGCTGGAGCCAGACTGAGAGAGCTGGGCTTGTTCAGCCTGGAGAAGAGAAGGCTCCAGGCAGACCATGGACTGAGGCATGTGAACAAGTATTGTCAACAGCCATAGGCACCAACTTAGCCCATAAAATAAGCCAGGAAATAGCAGTAATGTAGGAATAATTTAACTTACTGCGAGTATCACCTACAGAAATGCTGTGTGCAAGGTGTTTTAGATGGTTTATCCAAAGTAACTGAAATGAAAAAGTGGTAACAATAACAGCATTCTTTAACCAGTTGCCTGAGGGATGCACTAAACCAGACCCTTTCCAGAGGTGTTACAGGCCTTTAGGTTCCTGGAAATGACTGGAGTAAAAACTGTTCTCAGGCTGTCCATTAGCAGCTTCCCAGATGCCCTGTTCTAAAGCCACTGCAGGGTGACACACTCACCAGGCTCACACATGCCAGCGTTCTGCAGGTACGTACGGCACCGCTCCCGGTGCTCCTCCAACGAGCTCCTCTGCTTGTAGCTCCTCCCGCAGAACTCACACTTGTATGGCTTCTCCACTAGAAAAGGAAGAGTGCAGCATAAATAACCACCAGAGGCTCCTGAAACACTGCCGTTCAAGTGTATCATTGCTAATAGCATGCAGTCAGCTCTTGGGAAGTGCTTGAAGCTTCTGTTAAGTTTATGAGGACTGTGATCGTCAAAAAATGAGGGTTACACAAGGGTGCAAGCCACCAGGCACAGAGTTCCTCTTCATCCCCTAAACTTAGCAGCAGGAAAGAAGAGGATTTAGGATTAGACCCTGTTCCTAGGAGCTCAGGGTCCTGGAGCTTTACTCTAACTGATGGCTTTCCTTGGCCTAACTTCCTTAGGGAAGAGCAACTGCTCTGCTGTAAAGCAGGGCTGCTGCTGTCCCAGTTGCCTCACCTAGCTCCTGTCTACGGAGACTTTTTCAAGGATTTAATGAAACTGAAGAACTTAAACCAACCGAAAACTATACATGAGCTTCATTTAATATCCAAAGACACATATTGTAAAGGGAATGACGTTCCTAATACGTTTAAGCTAAAGCAAACCTGTTTGAAACTCAAGATACCCACACAGCCTTTCCCAGTGCCTTATAGACAAGGACTGGCAGCACCTTCTAAACTGTCTCATTACTGTTTTGTGAACAGACATCCTCTAACACACCCAGGCAAAATATTAGCCTTGCACTGGATCCTGTGCTCCCTGCTGCTAATGCAATTGCTCACTTCTTGATGTGATGCACTTGGAGAGATTTTCTTTCTCCCCTTTGATAAGCCAGCTCTTGCAGGCTTCAGTCACGACAACCACATGGCGTGTTTGAAGCATGATGGCTTTAGCGTTGTGCTGGTGGGGAACAGTGACCACCACCATGCTGGGGCTTGATTAAACCAGAACCTCATTTATTCATGTCAGATAATCTCATTTTTAACTTGGATTCTTTGTGGGGTTGAACTTTTTTGCCTGTGAAGTGCAGTGCAGAGATAACATCTATCATTTAGAATAACTGTTTGTGTCTAGGTCCCTGTATAACACAGGATATACACAAAGCAAAGAGGAAGCACAGCCTGGCTCTGGGGGAACTAACATTAATCGATTTATACCTGGATTGTTATTCAAGTCACCTCAAGCCTGTGCCTCTGTTTCTCCCATCTGGAAAATGGACAGAACACGCTACCAGTCTTGGGGAAAAAACCCTGGTGTTTGGTGAGCATGTTAAAGGCATTCAGATGAAAGGCACTACACAACAGCAAGGCGTTAACTGCCAATAAGGTCGTGCTGTCCTGGGTGATGCTCCTAGAGCTCTCCTACCAGGATAGGAACAGAAGGAAGTCCTAGCAAAGCACTCCTCAAATACGGAGCTCACTGGCATAGCTGGCTCCACTCTGGAAACACCAAGGAGCTATTTTGTGCGAGGAGGTCTGGTTTGTCACAGCACACAGCGTGCTTCCCTGTGCCCTGCTTGTGCATCAAGAGTGGAGCCCAGTCCTGAGAGGGTTCCATCAGCACAGCAGGCAGGTGAGTGGTCACTGCTATTTGCTGACTCCTCAAAACTAGACCGGCTGAGCCGACTTTGCTGACGAGCTCTCCATTTTCCACGCCTCGTGTCCTAGTGACACACATCCAAAACACATGAAGTGCCTTTGAAGTCACTTACCAGAATGTGTCCTTAAGTGACCTGTCAGCGCATCCCTCCTTTGGCAGGCATAACTGCAAAGATGACATTTAAAAGGTTTTTCCCCTGTGTGTAGTTTAATGTGGCGGAGGAGGTTTCCCTTCTGAGTAAAGGAAGCTCCGCACTGATTACACTGGAATGGCCGTTCACCTTAAAACGACATACAAAAAAGGACATTTAATGGTTATGTGGGTATCATGTTTATCCTCACACCCTTTCCTTTTTGGAAGGGGAAAGAATGAGATACTGGATCAATTCCTTTCTAGAGAAACACACAGAGCCCTTCCGTTGACTTCAGTGGGAGTTGCTGCAGCTCTGGTGACAGAGCTTCTCGTAACATATGTAGACTATGGAAAACACTGTGCAGTTTTTCCATGGAAATAAGTGTTCTGGAGGAGGCTGATTCCAACAAGCTAGCGACTTTTAGAAAGAAAAGGGCTTATCTTACTGCACGTTGAAACCCAAGATGCTCACTGGTTTGTTGCCAAAGTGTAGCACAAAGAGGAATACACACACAGACTGGAAACGGCAGCACAAAACCAATCTAACTTGTGTTTTGTGTCTAAAGTACTTCAATTACATAGTGCCTTTCATCCAAAATCCTTAAAATGCCCCACAAACACACTTGGACTGACATTTGATCCTGATAAGAAGAAAAGGGGGTAAAGTGAGGCACAGAAAAGCGAGTAACTTGCTACAGATCATGTGTGGCATCAAGGACAGAAGGAGCAAGTCCTGATTTTAGTATTCTTTGATAAAAATAAATAGTCTAGATTACAAATAATTCAGTAGTCAGCTCTTACAAGAATAATAGAGAGGTATTTACCAGTGTGGCTACGCTTATGAACCATCAAGACATTGAGGCTAATACATGCTAATCCACAGATGTCACAAGTCATTTTTCCACTAGCTGGCCTGATGTTGTCATATGAACCCGAATGTCTTTCCAGTTTAATGCTTTCATATTCATTATATTCTCTGGGATAGGTGTAAGGCAGTTCAGATTCTTCAGGGGTTTCCATTGGCTCTGGATGTAAAGCACTCTCCTCTCTTTCACTGTATTCACCTTTCACTTTAACCACATCATCTGCAGGTAAAACAAAGCACAAAAGTGAAAAACGCTCATCTTTATGCACAAGGAAGTATCTTAGGGGAGAAAAACCCAAGTATTACAGCAAATTACATGATCAACCTTCCTAAAAGTTTCATTTAAAACCCCAGAGATGAAGAAATGCAGTTGAGATGTGAATCTTCATGGGTCATGTACACTTTGTGATAGTCACAGCAAGAGAACCCTTAAAAACACTGACCTGCCTGTTATTTACCACTGATGGGTAATTTCCTTCTACTGTATAAGGTATATCACAATATAAACTCCTGCAATGACAGGGCACTACCAAGGCTGTTCCTGTGAATTGGAAATCTAGCAAGACACGAATGAAAAAGGATATTTATACCTTCCCATGGAACCTCTGGCGCCTGAAAGATGATTTGCTGATAAATAAATGCATCCCAGAAACAGGAAAAGATTTGCCCAAAGTCGTATTGCAAGTACATGGTAAAGAACCCAAGGACTCGTGAAGATCTGTGGCCTTCAGACAGGTTCCTGCTTCTGGAGCCATGTCCAGAGAAAACAAAGGCACTGCCTTAAATGACTATCATTTCATGACAAAGAGGCAAACGCAACACATAGCCAGTAACTTACTAACAATAATGCTCCATCTTGGTCCCACTATATAAACACCTGATGATTCCCAAGCCCTGTTGTTGAATTGCCTTTCCACCATTAACTCCAGCGTCACCAGCACTTGCACACAAATCCATATTAAAAGCCAGGATAGCTTTTCCTTCTGCTTAAAGCTGACTTTTCCATCCAGACAAGAGCTGAAGGTTACGCCTCAAGCTACCAATCGAAGTAAAGCACCAAGAGATCAAATACAAAGCTTCCTGTTTGACAGTACTGTTCTCCTGGCCACCTGCTGCTCACTCAGACTGAGGGTTAGACAGTTAAATCTGGCACTGAACCACTTGTCCTTTCTCCAAAGCACAGACCATGGACTGCTGAATATGTATTAACTCTGGTTCTGAGTAACAAACCACATCAAATGCAGAGAACAAACAATGGGTAACAGCGAAAATGAGGTGGCAACATGAAAGCAGCCCTGAAAAATAAAGATCTGGCAAGCCATTCTTTATGAAGTCAACATTTTCAACTATATTTCAGTGGTAAATTCCCTCCTTGAGCCCAGATGTTCGCACTAAGCCCAGCCAATCTCTCACTTTGGGTTGAAATGAGGCAGAAGAAACAGGCGAGTGGTAACTTCTTCAGCTTATGTGAGAATCCACAGTAGTGTGGAAAACTCCAGGATTCCTCTCGGTGCTCTCCCTAGATGATGATATCCACATCAGGGTGGCTTTTCCACCCATTCTGTGTGGTTTTATCCCCCTATCTCCGATGGTTTTCAGTTTGGCTTCGGGACTGATCTTTAAGGTCCCTTCCAACCCAAACCATTCCATGATTCTATGATTCCTGCTTCCACTCAAACAGGGTTTCCTCTGCAGGTGCCTTTGCTGCCAACTTTATGTTAGAGGGTGCAAGAGAGATCCTGCTTTGAAGACTCCTTCAAAATTAGTTTATACACCCATTTCCATTACTCTAAGGGAAAATTCCTACCAATTCCTGAAAGCAGCTTTCAGCAGAATCCCTTTCCCCCCCAAAAAAACCCCAAGGTTTCTTGGTTGTCTTTTTTCCCCTCTCAAAAGGAGGCAGCTCCAAATTAATTTGCTACATCCTGCAGAGCATGGTGAAAGGAAGTGCACGTTGCAGCTGCACCTTGGTGGTACTTTCAGAAGCAATTTCAATTCCCACTTTCTACTTAACGTCTCACCTTTGGTCTGCATCAAACGCAGTTGCTTGGTGCTGGAGGACCAGAGAAGGCTTCTCTACCGTTTTCTGCTGTTTCTCACCACAAGCTCACAGGTTTTCACTCTTTTACAGTCCTGCCAGTGTTCCTGCAGCGTGGCACCAACACCAGTTTGAGTTCCTCATGGCCAGCACTTACTGACTGGCACAAACTGGGCAAACCATCCTACAGCTCCCCCATGGAAAATGAGTACCTCTGCATTTTCTGCATCGCTGACTGCTCGTGATACTTGTGTGTTCTGACAGCAATAGAGAAGGATGCACCCCAGTTCTGAGCAAGGCTTTCCCCCCACTGCCTCCCCCAACAACCCTCACCCCCACTTCAGCTGGCAGTGCCGTCCCACCAAAGCTCCACTGCTTTTCAGTTTCCATGTAGGCATTTGGAGAACCTCAACAGAAAAATCTCACCTTCTCTTGACTGAGAACAACAAAAAGAACGAGGGAAGAGGTGGGTTTTTAACCAAATAGGTCTTAGAAGGGTTGGGATTTTTCTCTCCTAACACTCCTGTTACTCTTTAGAGTATGACAAAAGGAAGCTTTGGTACAAAGCACTCAGAAGAAAGGACAACTCAGCACAGGTCAGAGAACCAAGTAGCTGCAGAGGTCTGAAGCAACCTTTTGCAGCCCTGACTTTTGCTGTGTTTATGGGCAGCACAGGGAGCCCTGGGAGATCAGGAGAGCTGCAACTGCGCTCAAAGGTTTGTATCTGTCACTCAAAACTCATATTTCAAAGAGAGCAGGGTCCACCTTCACCCAGAGGGAAGTGGCTGTAACTTCAAGCAGAACAGGGAAATCTGACTGAGGAAAACCACCTTTATCCCCAGCATCACACACAAAGCTCCCCCAGCTGAGCAAAAGACGTGCTGTCATCTCTCCCCTGCTTAGGAAAGTAAAGAGCTTGTAAGAGGGATAAAACATTCATGGTGTCCAAGCCCAGGTAGCTATTTGTCTTGAGGCAGCTCAGGAAGGTAATAACAGTAGAGCAAAGCGCTGTTGTGGATTTGACACAACAAAGCGCCAGTGTGATGTGTTAAGGCTGATGCACATGGTTTCATTTCCTGGGGAGATGATTACAAGATGAAAGGCATTACTCCAGAGTAATATTTTTGTTTCACCTGAAACATTGTAAAAACAATGGGTTCTGGAAAAAATCCAAAATAAAGCTGTGGTGGCAACTGCAGACTGAGTCACCCCATGAACAGTGCTTGTGTACGTTAGAAAATGCATGACTAAAGAAAGGAGGCACCAGCAGCAAACAGGACAGGCCAGAGCATTATCTTGGCTATTACCCCAAGGAGGAGGCCCTGGAAGGAAAACCCCCCCAATTCCTGTATTTAATGCAACACCTTGGCATCAAACCTAGAGAAAAGAACATCAGTTTGGTCCTGTTGTTAAGCAAAGTTTACCAGCAGTGCTCTGAAAAGCACAAAGAATATAAAGCAGAAGCTATTAAAGACAACAGCACAAAAGGGTGATGTTACTCAAGTGTTTTACAAGGAGCGGGGTCATAATCGTGAAATCCTCAGCACATGCAAAAAGTCAGCTGGGTAACAAAGAAACTTCATCATCTTAATGTGGCACTTTAATGCTGCTGCTGATTTGCTGTGCCAATTCCGAGATAATGAGCCCCTAATGCTACAGATGTTCAGGCAGACTAAAGGGGGAAAAGAAAAAGGGAAAGCTTTTCTTGTATGCCATTTCCTAACTATGCAATTAAACAAATTGTGAAAGCACATAAATAGTTTACCAGGTTTTGACAGCTGTTAATAGGAGTCAGATGCCAAAGAACAAGAAGGGAGTTGATCCAGGCACATATTGAAGGGTTCTGGTGCCTACCTGGATTTGACAGGTATTAACTGCTGGATTCAGCACTGTTCCCTCCACGAATCATCCCCAGAAGCAGCAGTATAAAGCCCAAACCCTGCGTGGTCCTGCTAGAGCTGCTCTCCTCCCAGGATGTGAGATTCCTGTACCTAAGGCAGCTTGAAACACAACAGCCCTACGTGTGAAAACTGAAAAAGGCAGCACAGTTTCCAGATTCAAGTCACAATAAACACCTTTACCATGGAATTAACACACAGCAGGGGGAAGATTTGCCATGAATTAAACCCAACCCTATTCCTCAATGAATAGAGAGAGGTTTGCAGTTTGCATCGGAATGACAAACATCAAAATGACCAGCAATGCTGCATCTAAGGGTTTTTCCTTAAATAATAAGAAAACAAGGACACACACATACATGTGTATATTGAACATCTGGAGACTATAATGGGGAATTATAACATGTGAAGTGACACAAGAGCAATGTGAGATTGTTGGGGTTTTAACAGAGGCAGCACAGAGAGAAGGGAACTTTTCTGCATGTCTGTCTCACCCCACTGCAGAGTTCAATTCTAGGGAAGCAAAAGGAGTTCCAGGTTCCTTGGCCCAACCTGGCCTTGTTTCTCACACTCACTCCAGTGATAAACTCCCTTTTTACAACCACAACAATGCTTTAATGAGACTGAAGCTTTTATGAACCCTTGTTTGCCACCAAAGGAGGGAGTGCTCACCCAGGAGCACCATCAGCTTCCAGCTAGACAGCAACGGCCACAACACTGGCAAAGATATAGTGGCAATAACCATGTGCTCCCTCACACAGTGAGTACAGCACCAGGCCTGACCTGCTGGGGTCTTCAGCACCAAGAATCCCAAGTGTGGCATCCACTGCCTCTGTTCTACTGAGGAAATCACTGGAAATCCACAGGTTTCACTGCCTCCACTTACTAAAGTTATTACTTGGACAAAGTAGGCAGAAGCTCTTCCCTGTGAGGGTGCTGAGGCGCTGGCACAGGGTGCCCAGAGAAGCTGTGGCTGCCCCATCCCTGGCAGTGCTCAAGGCCAGGTTGGACACAGGGGCTTGGAGCAAGCTGCTCCAGTGGAAGGGGTCCCTGCCTGTGGCAGGGGTTGGAGCTGGAGGAGCTTTAAGGTCCCTTCAACCCAAACCAGTTTGGGATCCTATATTTGCTTTATTTTATCTTTGTGCCTTCCAGTACTGTTGTTCAGGCTGCATTCTGTACACCACCCAAGCACTATGTTGCTTAGACTCTGTCTGAAGCACCCTTGGGTGGTAATTCCCAAATGAACCCATGTGGTACGCACCTGGTGGAAATTTCACCCTAAAA